GATCTGCAAAGAAGAATGGGGGAAACTGCCCAAAGAAAGGTGTGCCAAGCATGTAGCATCATACTCAAGAAGACTTGAGGCTGTAATTGTTGCCAAAGGTGCTTCAACAACGTATTGAGTAAAGGGTGTGAATACTTATGTGATATTTGAGTTTTTTATTTTTTATTCATTTGCAAAAATTATTTTAAAACTTTTTTAACTTTGTCATTATGGGGTATTGTGTCTAGAATGTTGAGAAAACAAATGAATTTAATCAATTTTGAAATATGGCTGTAACATAACAAAATGTGGAAGAAGTGAAGGGGTATGAATACTTTCCGGATGCACTGTATATAGTGTAAGGGAAACTTCTGCAACAATGGAGAGTCAGGACTCAGAGAGACACGAGGAGAGTTGGAGCTTTGATTTCAAACAATGATGTTTATTACAAGTCAACGGCCGGAGAATTCATATCACAAGTCACAGCAGCAAAAGGTTCTGACTGCACAGGTGGGTTGTCATGTCAATTCTGCCCAGCCTATCTCTCGATAGACCTTTTAACTAGTTTACAGAGAGTCAAATCCACATATTGGGGATGGGCGTACACATCTGCAGACACAGGAGATGTCTCTCACATCTGTGGAGCTTAGAAAGCCAGCGTTCTCAGTCGTAACCCCCCCCCCACCTGTGCCCACCAGGTCAGGCCATAAAACCTAGTATCAACATACGACTGCATTAACACATTCCTTACGGGAGATTAGAAGCAGGGATGGTCGTAAATGTCAACACACAGAATACGGTTAAATATCTTAGGAGTAAGGAAGAATTATTCTTTGACACTTAGGAGTAGGACAGAAATATTCCCTTACATATAGCACACTACAGAATAGACCCACTCATGTCCACAAGTATACATATAACATCAACAGATCAACCCTTATACACATACGTTAAAAACTGTGCCATGGTAAGAAGCGAGAACCTGATTGGCTACTTTCTACGTATGTCTGATGTAATGTAGTTATTCAATTGTGAATATCTTAACTTTGCCTGTTCAGCACCTATTCTGAAGAAGGAGGACTACATCAGATTGAAGGAAGAGGAGCGAATAGTAAAGGAGGAAGCAGATAAAAAGAAGGCAGAAGAAGCAGCCAAAAAGGCAGAGGAGAAGAAGAAGAAGGACGAGGAGAAAAGGCTGGAGAACGAGCAGAAGGCGGAGGAGGAGCGGCTGGCGAAGGAGGCCGCGAAGAAGGCAAAGATTCTCCCAGAAATCAACTTCTCCTTCATGGACGCCCTCTTCAGCCCCATAGAGACCCGGATGGATGACATCCTGGGCAACACCATCGACCCTTTCACAGGTAGGTGAGGGGCCCACAGGGGACAGGAGAATGAGACTAAATGAACCATAAAATGTGTCTGTCTCTCCCAAGATCGGCGGTACATTGCCTGGTTAGCCGTGATAGCCGTGGCGATCAACTACAACTTTTGGTTTTGCACCGCCCGGATGGCCTTCCCTTACCACAACGACACCATTAACTTCTTCTGGATACTGTTGGACATTCTGAGTGACGTAGTGAATGTGATCGACATCATAATATGGCAGCCACGACTGCAGTTCGTCAAAGCCGGGGACATTATTGTGAGAGGCATTATGAACCATCACTATTTGTGATAGTTATATTGAAGTGTTTTATCTGAACTGAAATACTATGTGCTCCCTTGCAGAAAGACAGAAGCATGGCTAAAGTACATTATCGGAAATCATATCGATTTAAGGTGAGTCTGTAGTGGTGTGTCTGGGGATAGAAAGTATTTACTCCAGTCAATTACGAGGAATATTTTTCATTGTATTCCTCTTTATACTTCTTCTCCACTAAATGTTGTAGCGTCATATCGTACTTTTGACTCTACTACGTTTATCTGACAGCTGACAGGTAGCTTTTTCTTTGGTTCTTACCTAATTAATCCTCTTATGACTCATCAGATGAATCTTGTGACTGGAGGGCCTCTATGTAGAAAGAGATTCAAATAGACCAGCTTCAAAAGTAAAATGCTAGTTTGATGATTAGAGATTCCATGCATCAGTATCAAAGATCTTATATCATGTTTAATAGTAGTAGTAGTAATCAATCAATCAATCAATGTTTATTTATATAGCCCAATATCACAAATGTTACATTTGTCTCAGTGGACTTCACAGTTTGTACAGAATATCAGTATGACAATACGACACCCTCTGTCCTTAGACCCTCACATCGTACAAGGAAAAACTTCCAGAGAAAACCCACAGTTTAAAGGGAAAAATGGGAGAAACCTCAGGGAGAGCAACAGAGGAGGGATCCCTCTCCCAGGACGGACAGACGTGCAATAGATGCCGTGTGTAAATTGAAAAGATAATACATTTGCAACATAGGTAGTCCAAATGTTTGGAAATGCATGTGTGTATAATAGGAAGATGAATCCACGAGTATATCCATCCAGGACTTATGATCCAGGACCACAGCCACGGCTCAAGATCCAGGACTCGCAATCCATGACACAGGACCGCAGGATCATCCATGACTCCGGATCCCGGCGTATATAGACACCAAAAAGAAAGAAATTTGGGGAAGCTGGGTTAATCGGAACATGAGAGTACACAGGTATAGACAGAGAGAAGGAAGAAGTAAGATGTCCCCCGACAAACTAAGCCT